CCACCCCCACCTCCACCTCACCCTACCTCCACAGACACACAAACACACCAATCCGCCCCACTGGCCCCACCGGCCCCGAACCCCACCGCCCTGGCCCCTCAACCCCTCCCCACTACTCGATCCCGCGACCCCACACCTGCCCCTGCAACCCGCCAACCCCGTCACGGGTCCCGGAACCTGTCCCCACATGATCCCGCCCGTTGTCCCCGGCCCCGCAGCTCCCCATCCCTGGACCAGCATGGGGGCCATCCCTGGGCGACTCCCGAGGGGTCCCAAAACTGTTTTTATTTGTTGTTGTTGTTTTCCCTCCGCAAGGCATTCAGCTCCTGCCCTCGACAACAAAAGGTCCCAGAGCCCGCTGGCCTCTAATTCCGAGCCCCCAACAATTTTCTGTGTCAAAATTGGGGATCCCAGGCCCTCGGCACCAGTTAGCTGTAGGCAAATACAGCGGCTGTGTGACCAGGCCCTGAGATCCATGTGTGCGATGTGGCCCAAGGCCTTTCCGCCAACGAGAATGCAGGAAAGAGCGGCAGCCACGTCTGGCAGTTGAGCCCCTCAACCAACTGCGCCCAGGGCACAATCTGTAAGGGCCCTGGTTGAAGATACTGGACAAGGCCCTGAAGCTACTGGGTACCAGTCGTGCACGCCCAGGCCAGAATCACTTTCCATTAAGGAAAGTGCTGCGGCCCAGTGAGTACATACCGGCCTGGAGCCTCATATGAAGCGCTGCTGCGATGTTTGCTGGCGCTTGCACACACGCTGAGAACTGGCTGGGATGGAGGAGAACGCAGCTTGGGCTAAGCAGCAGTTATAGCCCGGCTGCTGCTCATACGTCGTCAGAGAGGGATTGAGTGGAGGTCTTTGGGAGAGGGCGCAGTGTGGGAGAGAGGTGATTGGGCGGCAAGGAGGAAAGTACCTGGTGATGGTGTGAAGCCGAAGTCTCCGTTCGTCATCTGGCACCTATTCTTCATGAAGACCCGTTGACGTCATAGCTGGATAGGGCAGTGCTTGGGTGCTGTCTGATTGTAATTTGGGTGCCAGGCACCATATTAGCAGAGCGACACTGAATACAATGATGGTGGTGGCGAGACAAGGGCTGACATTGTCATTTGAGTTCCTTGCTTTGCTCTTATTTGGTGTTTACAGTCTTGGTGCATTCTGCTTTCTGTCCGGCCACATGGCATTCTGGCTTTGAACGAGACGATGCAATTTGGTTTCTGTACTTCGCATGGCTCATTTTCTTTGCATAGCTAGGAAGGTATACTACTATACTCATAGTGCACCCTCCCCCTTTTTTTCTTTTTTTTCTTTTTTTCTTTTTTCTTTTTGTTTTTCCCTTTTTTATGGGGGGAGGGGAAGGGGGGAATTTTTCCCGGGGTTGGGGGTCCCATCCCCGGACCCCTGCACCGCCGGTGGGGTTCCCTGCGCGGGGGTCGACAACCCTGGCGCCATCCAAAAGAGAGGTGGAAAAAAGGCCGCACTGGCGCTTCAGCAAAGCTTGGCGCACAGAAGAATCCGCCTCAGCAAAAGGAGCCTCAGAGGTAGTGGTGGACCTGGTGGTTTCACCTGCAGTTTACCTCTTGAGCCCAACTTGAAGGTCATCTCCCAAAACCTCCACAGTGCCCACACCCACCTCGGACTTCTCCTACCTCTCGCAACTATGCCTGCATCCTTCACCCTCCATGCCTTCAAGTCCTCTGCCAACTTCTCCCTCTCGGCGGAGCACCAGCATGACTGCTTAATGGATGAGTGGAGTGCTTATTGCACCGAATGATATACTCTTGACTCTCCAGCCTCGTGTACGCTTTGGTCGGGAACTACCTGGCTACTACCGTCTTTCCCCGACCGAATAGAGCATACGGTCGGTGTAACCGTAGTTGGGCCAACTTTCAGTCTAGTTGCAGCAGTAGTCACCTTACGTCCGTGTCACCAACCGAGCCAGCCGGGTCACCTTGGTTGCCCGGGAGGGCCGGCCCGGCTCAAGGACCAGGGAAGGTCCCTGTAGAACCAAAAAGAAAAAGAAACTGAACAACTTTCGCCTCAGGTTCGGGTCGAAATGCGTTACCATTTTTTTATTTTATTTTTTCTTGGCAAAAGCCAGGGAAGGTCCCTGTAGAACCAAAAAACATGCAAAAAAAAAAAAAACAAGCTATGTTAATATGTTGTGCTATTTGTGCAGAGAAAGAAACTGAACAACTTTCGCCTCAGGGTCGGATCAAAATTCGTTGCCAAATATTTTTTTAATTTTTTTCCCCTAACTCAGTTTTGCCCCGGCCAAAAAAAAAAAAAAAAAAAAAAAAAAGGTCCTGGGCCACTCTGGTAACATAGCCATACGTTCTATTCAGGGGAAGACAGCGGGCAAACCGAAGGTTCCCCTCTGTTGGGGGAAACATCCTTGTAGACTGATATGTACTCGTGAGCCCCGAGACTACTGTCTTCACCCCAATAGTGCGCCCAGTCACTATTGCTTTAGACAGACAGAATGTTACACGACATACACAGCTATAATGAATGGGTGTTTTATTATGGTGAAGACGATACACCGGTACCTGTCTACCGACAGGTCCTGGCCAATCACTACCTACTGGACATCTACGTGACCTTCTGCCCAAATCGACTTGCTGGAAAATCCCGACAGGGCCTCCATCAAATTCTACTTACGTCCCTGGTCACTACTCTATCCCAAATATGTCCCTACTGCTAACCCTCCATCCTCTCTCCGTTCCCATCTCTATCCCTCCCCCAATATGGCCAACAGAGTTGGTATATGAATGCAGACTTGCACTCAGGAAATCACACAGCATTCACACATTAGCCGCAGATCACACACGTACTCAAAGAACGGGCATTTTATTATGGTCGAGACGGTACACCGGTACCTGTCTACAGGCAGAACCTGGCCCATCACTACCTAGCATACTTGCAAGCGCACGTTGTGCGGGCGGCTCCCTACGTGCGGCGCACGCGCCCAATGGATCCCGTGCGGCGCACAACGTGTCCAGAGAACGACCCGTCACCCTCTTCAGAAAAAAAAAAAAGACCGGGGTCGAAACGGTGCGTTTGAGCCCCCCCACCAAAATTATAAGCGAGATGAAAAAAAGTTTAAAAAACATTTTAAAAGTACTGCCTCACCTTGCTCCTCCTCCCCTTTCTCATCCTCCATGTCTCCTCCTCCCTTCTCCTTTTCGTCTCCTCCTCCTCCTCCTCCTCCTCCTGTTCGTCCTCCTCCTCCTGCCCTTCCTCCTTTCCCTCCGTCCATCTCTTCTCCTCCCCCATCTCGACTCCTCCTCCTCCTCGTCCTCGCTATCCTCGTTGTCCTCCTCGTCCATGTCCTCCATATCCCCGTCTCCTCGCCATATCCCCATCGTCCTGTCATATGACCCCCCGTTCCCCCTCCCAAAAAAAGATGAAATAATTATAAAAAAATACTAAACCTGCACGATTCCGCACAGGCACCCCCCGCACGGAACTCCGCACGAATGTGCGGCTCGTGCGGTTTCAAGTATGCTACCTACTGGACATCTATGTGACCTCCTAGGCCCAAACCGACTTGCTGGAAAATCCCTACAGGGCCTCCAGCAAATTCTACTTCCGTCCCTGGCCACTACTCTACCCCAATGCTAACCTTCTGTCCTCTCTCCGTTCCTACACCTATCCCTCCCGAGTCCCAACCTGGCCGAAAGAGTTTAGTACATCCATGTAGGACTTGCACTCAGGAAAGCACACGGCATACAGACATTAGCCGCAGATCACACACGTACTCAAAACACAGCAAAAACAAACTCAAAAAGTCAAAATTGAATTCTCCCCAACCAGATCCGACAGACAGTTGCCAGGGCCATAAGGACCTGTTTATTAAAGTTTATTTATTTATTTATTTTAACGATTTATTTTTAAAAAGGGTTTAACTTCAGGACAGTCACAAAAACAGTTTGAAATTATAGTTCGGGCATTCCCTCGAACATAACACACCCCCGCATAACCCTACCTATTCAGAATGCTAGCTTGTATGCATTGCCCGAAGTGCAATTTGAGACTGTTTTTGCCTAGGCTGTTTTCCCGGGCGCCCGGGCACCCAACTTCCGGCCGGATACACGCCCGGGTGCCCGGCCGGGCATGACCCCCGGGCAGGGTTCCGGGCAGCCCCAGTGCCAAAAAAA